GGTCCCTAACTTACATTCATACATACACATACTAGGGCCAATTTAGACAGGAGCCAATTCACCTACCAGCATGTCTTTGGAGTGTGGTAGGAAACCGGAGTACCCGGAGAAAAACCCACACAGGCACAGGGAGAACATGCAAACTCCAGGCAGGTGGTGCCGTGGTTGGGATTTGAACCGACGACCCTAGTACTGCCAGGCATATATCCTATAGATCATGATCCAAATACACCAGCAACAAGTGTCTTCTGAAAATGGTCTAAAAATATGGTGAACCGTCCCTGTGGACCAGTGTAACACACTACTGTATACTGTACTGTATACATATACGGTGCTCCTGGGTCACCCCCTAGTGCTCATCCACCTTCAACACTCTATTGCGCTCACCTCCAAGTTTTACCCGTAATGACAGGCAAACTGCGCCTTTCCCTTTAACCCGGGAGGGGGTATAATGGTACACAGATCTTCACCACCGTTAGCCAGCACTTTTAAACAGCTCAAGATCACTCCAATTAAAATGTGTCCTCCTGGGACAGTACAGAGTTAAAAACTCACTATACAGTGTTTGCTGGAAGAAGAATGCAGAACTCCCTTTTTCCAAAATGGCACGTGCACTTCCAGTTTGCGGCCTGACGTCATCGGTGTACCCTACGCGTTACGTTACGTCACGTGACTTCATCAGGAGTACATCAGTGTACAAAGTTTTTGGGAAGGGCCTGGTAAAAGGGACATGCAAAAATTGTAGAAAGACAAATTAAGGCAATTTAAAAAAAAAATAAAAGAGATGGGATGTGTCATATATAATATAAAAGGTTTGAAAAACTGGAAAATATATTTATAAAGGACAAGAGGATATTTGTTTGCATAGGAAAGAACCAGGACAAATAGAGAGGGTCAATCCACCGAAAGGTGATGCAGAACGCAATAAACACCTGATGGGATTTCTAAACCCCTCGCCACTCTATCTGAAACTGAAAAGGGGATTTAGATGCATTTTAATAAAGTGTTTTTTGCACACGACCCGCAGATAAAAAAAAAAAAAATTTGTTTGGGAGTAATAAATATCCCTTTAAACAGGGACTGACATTCCGTATCTGTCACATATATACAAAAAGGTATAACAGTCGCAATGAGACTTTTCTAGGTACCTATAAGTCACATCTGATATCAACTGTTAAAATAATTTCCTTTATCATTATCTTTTGTTTATAATATGGAAGATTTTTTTTTCAGTTAGTCCTCATGCACACTGAACGTTTGCCTAACGCTGCTAGCGTTAGCTGGTTACAGTCACGTTAAAAACGTGAGTTTTTTTTCAGCATTTTTTGCATAGCGTTTATCAGCGTTAGCGTTTTTCAGCATTTTTAAGTATGATGTGTTTCACAAAGGTTGAAGTTTTATTTCATTAATGGTTTTTACACAATGCTGGTAATTTTTAGTTTAATTGCTTAATTATGAGCCTTATTTGTATGTTTACGCTTTTGAGATTATTTTTGCACTATTTGTGCTTTATTCACTTATAAGATTAGTAGGGTGTTAAAATTATATCAAATGTTTTTATTTACAAAAAAAAATCCATACTAAATTCATGATAAAGTCATATGGTCAATGGTCCGAAAAAGAGAAAATATCCAGTGAGTGGCAGTTGTATGGGCGAAAATGCCTTGTTGATGTCAGAGGTCAGAGGAGAATGGGCAGACTGGTTGCTGCGACATTCAGATGGTAGGGTCAGAATTTGGTATAAACAACATGAAAGCATGGATCCATCCTGCCTTGTATCAAATGTTCAGGCTGGTGGTGTAATGGGGTGGAGGGGATAAGTGTTCTTGGCACTAGCAGGGTGGACCTAATAAAGTGGCTGGTGAGTGTATATAATATATATATTATATATATTTATATATATATATAGATATATAGATATATAGATATATATTATATATATTATACAAAAGTGCTTATTCACTTTATCACAATAGTAATCTAAAATTATATTATATATTTTTTTTATATATATTATACATACATACACACATGCAAAGTGCTTACAAATTTTATTACAATAGTAATCTAAAATTTTACATATAATATATATATATATTTTATACATGTATACTATTATTATTATTATACAGGATTTATATTTAGCGCCAACAGTTTGCTCAGCGCTTTACAATATAACGGGAGACAATACAGCAACAATACAGTTCAATACAAGAGGGATAGGAGGGCCCTGATCCTGGGAGCTTACAATCTAGGAGATATATATATGTATACATATATAGAAACACATTGCTAATGATAACGTCTGTGCAAACATACCTAGCGAGCTCCAAATCACCGCCAATAATTATCCAATAAAGTAGAGATCTGGTTCTGATTCAAATGCAATTTCTTATTTCTTTAATCCTGCACAATCTTAAACCGTAGACAAGGTACAAATCAGAACAATGGTTTTGGGCATTGCCGCTCTTTCTGGTGTTGAGTAAAAGGCAGGGATGCCAGAAACCATTGTGTTTCCTTATGTATGATTTAAGATTTTGCATGATTAAAGAATCAAGATATTGCCTTTGAACAGGTGCCACATCTCTACATTATATGATTATCATATAGATTATTATATAAATAAATTATTATTAATTCAAGTACATTAATTCATTAAAATAAATAAATACATACATTATTATTATATTATTTTTATTAGATAAAGATATAAAGATAAATAGATAGAGAGAGAGATAGATAGATAGATAGATAGATAGATAGATAGATAGATAGATATGAATAGATAGATATGAATAGATAGATAGATAGATAGATAGATAGATAGATAGATAGATAGATAGATAGATAGATAGATAGATATGGATAGATAGATAGATAGATAGATAATGAATATGAATAGATAGATAGATAGATAGATATGAATAATAGATAGATAGATAGATAGATAGATAGATAGATAGATAGATAGATATATAGATAGATAGATAGATAGATATGAATAGATAGATAGATAGATAGATAGATAGATAGATAATAGATAGATAGATAGATAGATAGATAGATAGATAGATAGATAGATAGATAGATAGATAGATAGATAGATAGATAGATAGATAGATAGATATGATAGATAGATAGATAGATAGATAGATAGATAGAATTTAAATAAATAAAAAATAGATAAATAAATACATTCATTATAAATAAATAAATACATACATTATTATTATAGATTTTATTAGATAAAAATATAAAGATAAATAGATAGATAGATAGATAGATAGATAGATAGATAGATAGATAGATCGATAAATAGAAAAATATATGAATAAATAGATAGATAAAATAAATAAATAGATACATTATTATAGATATTCTTTTTATTAGATATGAATATAAAGATAAATAGATAGATAGATAGATAGATAGATAGATAGATAGATATATAGATAGTAGATATGAATAGATAGATAGATAGATAGATAGATAGATAGATAGATATGAATAGATAGATAGATAGATAGATAGATAGATAGATAGATATGAATAGATAGATAGATCTGTTTTTTCTTCCCCTGTTCAGTCTAGCAGTGTGAATAGCAATCATCCATGTAGCTGAATCAGTCTATACACCATGCATGTAATGTAGATAAGAAGTAGCTCTTCCATAGTATAGACCAGCTGTACTTCTTCCTCTATTAGCTGCTTATTAATAGCCTTGGCCCATTGTGAATTTGGAGACGTGGTCTATGAATAACCTGCTCTATATTCTTCACAGGGTTCTTCCCAGTCCTGAAAAAGGTTACACAGAGCGAGTAAATAGTGTACGCAGAGAAGGTCCAATAACGGAAGTTGATCCTTCCTTCCTTTATCTCTCCTCATCGAATTTCCAAAGAGATGCCAGCCTAAAAATAGCCCCTTTGGACATGACACATGTTATAATCTTCTAAAACTTCCTGTGTTACTTTAATTGCTACTCTGGGGACGTGGGGATTACTGAGGGCAATGACTGATGAGCAGATTCTTATGTGACACGCAGAGGAAGATTTGCCATGAAGACAGTAAGTGAGAATACAGGACACTTTACAGTTGCATTGGGACATTGGACCAAGCTGCAGCTCTGGCTGCCGTTCAGCTAGGACTCCATATTTGAAGCCCTGGAAATTTATTTTTATTATTTTAAAAGCAAAAACTTTTTTTTTTACATCTTGGAAAGTGTAAGGAATGACTAAAATCCCTGCCAAGTTATTTTTTCCATTGGGAAGATTTTTTTTTCACTTCCTATTCTGTAGGTACATGGACTGTACCAAAAGTAAGGCAAAAGTGGGCATAACGTTTATATTAATTTATACAGATTGTTCAAATTTCACGTTTGTAGAGTAATTCCTCCTCCATAGTAACTCTTCTTATTTGGATTATAATGGATTCCAGGCAGAAGCAATGTGCTGTCATTGAGTTCTTGACAAAGGAGACAAGCAGGCTGTCTGACATCCACAGAAGGCTATAGAATGTTTATGGAGATGACACCATTGACAGGAGTCACCAATGACTGGACATGACATTGCTCTTGTCAATGGTGTCATCTCTGTTAACATTCTGTAGCCCTCTGTGGATATCGGATGGTCTGCACCCCTCCATCAAGAACTCAGTGAAATCAGTGATGGCACATTGCTTCTGCTTGGAATCCATTATTTGCCTGCAATGAAAAAGAAGTAGAAAAAGAGTTACTGTAGAGAAAGAATTACTCTACCACCATGTTGCTTGAGGTGATTGTAGCCGTAACTCAATTGTTTCTGTCTACCACCATGTGAAACTTAAATGACCTATGTAGGTTGACAAAAAATGGTATGCCCACTTTTGGTACAGTCCTTGTACAACGGGAAGTTAGAGCAGTGTTTCTCAACTTTTTTTTGAGTCAAGGCACCCTTTAAAATTATGGACAGTCCCAAGGCACCCTTTAAAATTATGGACAGTCCCGAGGCACCCTTTACAATTATGGACAGTCCCGAGGCACCCTTTACAATTATGGACAGTCCCGAGGCACCCTTTACAATTATGGACAGTCCCGAGGCACCCTTTAAAATTATGGACAGTGCCAAGGCACCCTTTTAAAATTATGGACAGTCCCCAAGGCACCCTTTACAATTATGGACAGTCCCAAGGCAACCTTTTAAAATTATGGACAGTCTTGAGGCACCCTTTAAAATTATGGACAGTCCCAAGGCAACCTTTTAAAATTATGGACAGTCTTGAGGCACCCTTTACAATTATGGACTTTCCCAAGACACCCTTTAAATTATGGACAGTCCCAAGGCACCCTTTAAAATTATGGACAGTCCCGAGGCACCCTTTAAAATTATGGACAGTTTTGAGGCACCCTTTAAAATTATGGACAGTCCCAAGGGACCCTTTACAATTATGGACAGTCCCGAGGCACCCTTTAAAATTATGGACAGTGCCGAGGCACCCTTTAAAATTATGGACAGTCCCGAGGCACCCTTTAAAATTATGGACAATGCCGAGGCACCCTTTAAAATTATGGACAGTCCCCGAGGCACCCTTTAAAATTATGGACAGTCCCAAGGCACCCTTTTAAATTATGGACAGTCTTGAGGCACCCTTTTAAAATTATGGACAGTCTTGAGGCACCCTTTTACAATTATGGACAGTGCCGAGGCACCCTTTTTACGGACAGTGCCGAGGCACCCTTTAAAATTATGGACAGTCCCAAGGCAACCATTTAAAATTATGGACAGTCCTGAGGCACCCTTTAAAATTATGGACAGTCCCTGAGGCACCCTTTAAAATTATAGACAGTCCCGAGGCACCCTTTACAATTATAGACAGTCCCAAGGCGCCCTTTTAAAATTATGGACAGTCTGGAGGCAATCCATTCTAAAATGTGAAAAACTATTCTAATAGTTTTATATAACGCAGCAACATCCACACATGTAGGACACCCAACATAGAGGTGATTTATTCTTCCAAAACAAATACATTTTTGCACACTGGTACTGACTAGTATTCCCATGTTTCTCTTCCCCCTCAGTTTTTCTCCATCACTCAGCTAATGTGACCCCAGCACTGATGGAGAGGGGCAGGGGAGGGTCAAACCAGGATGGTGTGCAGGCAGCTGACATCCTCCTTATCAACTGATGATGTCATTGGTTGTCAGGACGCCGGCGGCTAGAAGGTCATAATGGTGCACATTGAAAACTTGTGGCGTTGTGCAGCTAAAAGGCCGGCTTGTTCCACCCTCTGGCTTGTATACAAGTTTTGGGCAGTTTTTAGACATTTTGTCAGGCCACCCCTGAAGAAACCTCAAGGCACCCCAGGGTCGAGAAAGGTTGAGAAAGGTTGAGTTAGAGGAACAATCTACTAAAATGAGGGAAATCTACTCCTAGACAACTGTTCCCATTGGAAGATTTCCCTTCATTTTCGGTTCTATTGACAACATTTTTTATTTTCTCTCACTTTCAGTCCCACTGATAATGATTTCTGGGACAGTGAGAGAGTGCTGAGACGCAGACAGGTATAAAAACCTAACAGGGGTTCAAATCCATCCCATCTGACCTTTGTCAGATTTTTTTTCACATTTTTGTTCCAGTGGGGAGATTTCCCTTCGATTTCTGTCCCATAGTCAAAACAAGAAGTGAGAGGATATCCCTTGAAAGTGAGGGATTCCCTGGTTGTCACCAGAACAAGTGTCCCAATTCAAATATTCCCTTTTATTCCTGTTCTGGTGACAGCCCAAAATTTGACTTTAACTCTTGGTGACAACAGTAAACAGGACAATTAGAGAGGGAGAAGCTCTCTAATGGGGGAACAGATAGCAATAAAAACCCGACAGGTGTTCTAGTTCCACTCCACCCTCTAAAACTAAAAAAAAAAGTTTTACCTTCAGTTAGCCTTTAAATACACTTTAAAGAGGAACTTCACTCATTTTTTACAAAAATAAAAGTCAGCAGCTGCAAATGCTATAGCTGCTGATTTTAAAGTGTTACTAAACCCACAACAGTACAATCAAGTCTGTATATGCAGTAAAGCATGCTTGTTATACTCACTGTGGAACCTAAGGGGTTAATCCTCCTTAGTGTGTAAAAAAGCTGTTTGATCCTGATTGCTTTGTTCCTCCCCTTGTTTAAGTGACCACCTCTTATCTCCTGATAAGGCAGAGTGAACCCTAGACATTTTGCACATGCTCAGTTTGGTGTGTATTGCTAGAGAGGTTTATTGTTTTCTTGGGAGAGAGCATGTAATCAGCACAGGGCCAATCAGCACTGTTCAGCCAGAGGTCAGGGGTTCTGCATCCTCCTAGAGCTAAAAGAAAACTCCTCCTACAAGCTTTAGCTAGTGCTGGGCTGAACACTGATAGAAGTCACAAGACTGCTATATTCTGCTGATGAGAAAAGGTATTTAGCAGTTTATATTTGCGAAAATAATTGTATTTTCATGTTCTGTGTACTGTGACCAGATATAATGAATGTGAGGTCCTGGGAGACCGGATATAGTGAATGCAGGGTCCAGGGAGACCAGATATAGTAAATGCGGGGTCCGGGGAGACCAGATATAGTGAATGCAGGGTCCAGTGAGACCAGATATAGTGAATGCAGGGTCCAGGGAGACCAGATATAGTAAATGCGGGGTCCGGGGAGAGCAGATATAGTGAATGCAGGGTCCGGGAAGACCAGGTATAGTGAATGCAGGGTCCGGGGAGAGAGGATATAGTGAATGCGGGGTCCTGGAAGACCAGATATAGTGAATGCAGGGTCCGGGGAAACCATATATATTGAATGCAGTGCAGGGTCCGGGGAGAACAGATATAGAGAATACAGGGTCCGGGGAGACCAGATATAGTGAATGCAGGGTCCGGAGAGACCGAATATAGTGAATGCAGTGCAGGGTCCGGGGAAACCGTATATAGAGAATGCAGGGTCTGGGGAGACCGGATATAGTGAATGCAGGGTCCGGGGAGACCAGATATAGTGAATGCAGGGTCCGGGAGACCAGATATAGTAAATGCAGGATCCAGGGAGATCGGATATAGTGAATGCCGGGTCCGGGAAGGCCAGATATAGTGAATGCAGGGTCCTGGGAGACCAGATATAGTGAATGCGGGGTTCGGGGAGACCGGATATAGTGAATGCAGTGCAGGGTCCGGGGAGACTGTATATAGAGAATGCAGGGTCCGGGGAGACCAGATATAGTGAATGCAGGGTCCAGGGAGACCAGATATAGTGAATGCAGGGTCGGGGAGACCAGATATAGTGAATGCAGGGTCCGGGAGACCGGATATAGTGAATGCAGGGTCCGGGGAGACCGGATATAGTGAATACACTATAGGCTGGGAGAGAGGATGAACCCAAAAACAAAAAATTTATATATTGTAGCTTACCAATCACTGGATAAGATGGCCACATTTATTTTCTTCCCCCCTCCACCAAACTTTACACTTGGCACAATGCAGTCAGGCAAGTACCGTTCTCCTGGCAACTGCCAAACTCAGTAATGTCCATTGACAAAGAAGCGTGATTGGTTACTCCAGAGAACATGTTTCCACTGTTCTAGAGTCCAGTGGCAGCGTGCTTTACACCACTGCATCTGACGCTTTGCATTGCACTTGGTGATGTAAGGCTTGGATGCAGCTGCTCGGCCATGGAAACCCATTCCATGAAGCTCTCTACGCACTGTTGTTGTGCTAATCTGAAGGTCACATGACGTTTGGAGGTCTATAGCTATTGACTCTGCAGACAGTTGGCGACTTCTACGCACCGTGCGCTTCAGCATGCACTGACCCCACTCTGTCATGTGACGTGGCCTACCACTTGGTGGCTGAGTTGCTGTTGTTCCCAGTTGCTTCCACTTTGTTATAATCCCACTAACAGTTGAGCGTGGAATATTTAGTAGCCAGGAAATGTCACGGATGGACTTATTGCACAGGTGACAACCTATCACGGGACCACGCTTGGAGTCACTGAGCTCCTGAGAGCGACCCATTCTTTCACCAATGTTTGTAGAAGCAGTCTGCATGCCTAGGGGCTGGATTGTATACACCTGTGTCCATGGAGGGGATTGTAACACCTGAATCCAATGATCTGGAGGGATGGATCAATACCTTTGGCAATATAGTGTACTTTGTGTCTATTTATGAATAGTTTTTGTTCCTGGAGTTCACCTTTAACTGATTCCAAAAGACTGTGTACACTAATATACACCAGATCAGGGGCGGACTGACCATTTGGAAACTCGGGCACTGCTCGAGGGCCCGGGGTCAGTAGGGGGCCCCATGAGATGCCCCAGGTACTTTTTTCATAGGCTTTTTTGAGTTTGGGCAAGGACACAGGGGTCCCATGATCCCCTATTGCCTTGGGGCCCATGAGTTGTCAGTCCGCCCCTGCACCATATTATAAAGAATGCACGGCAGATTTGGCCACCACCCATAACATTCTCTAAGCATCCATATATAGATGTATATTTCACCGTTTACAAAAAAATAATGTAAAAAATAAAAATGCACAGTAAAATCTGTGTCCTTCCAGAACATAATGCTTACAAATGTTTTCTGATTTTTTTTTTTCCGGTTCGTTTTTGTTGTATTTTTTTTTTTACATTTGTCAGTATACAATAGACCTCCAGCAAAGATAAATTCAGTTCAGATGTGCAATTTCCGGAAACAATTGTCTAAATGATTTTTCATTGTGTAGTGGAAAGAGCCATCTGTTTCAAGTTAAGCTCTTTTCTGAATGGGAGGAGGGTGGAAGAGACAACTGCAAGGATGGCCTGTGGCTCCCAACATTCCGAGCATGGATGAAGAATCCGTCCCAGAATCCTTTGTGGCCGTCTTTCTGCAGGTCCACATTTTCCTTTTTCCTTCTGCATAGCTTACAAGCCATACCTTGCATATTCTCACGTATTTTGGCTATCCTGCAAGCCAGGCATGAGCTTTCCCTTTCTGAATCCCGCCGCTCTGTGTGTTATGCTTGAACAGTACAAGATGAGCTGCAGGCATAGTTGAAATACATAGGAGTGCTTTGCTTTTTTTTTTTTTTATCACAGTCAACTCTGGAGTGTGCAAATCTGGTGCAGTTCTGCACAGAAACCAATCAGATTCCATTTTTTTTTTTTTGCAAAGCTTAAAGCGAAACCTGACAGATCTAGAGGAGATCTGTGTGGAGGAGTCGGCCAAAATCCCTGTTGCAGTGCAAACCTGGCCAAGAACTACAGGAAACGTCTGACCTCTGTAATTACAAACAAAGGCTTCTGTACCAAATATTAACACTGATTTTCTCAGGTGTTCAAATACTTCTGTTCAGCAGTGCAAGACAAATTCTTTAACCATTAGCCGCCCGGCCAATGGCCGTTTGGCGGCTTCAGATGTGCTCCTCCATTCTGGGTGCACGCCATTTGGCGTGCTCCCGCACATGCGCCGTTTGCGCTAGTGCAGAGCGGCGCAGCAGTGCGATCTGTCGTCGGCCGTGCACCTCGGACACGGCCGATGACAGATCCGAGTACCGGCTCCCGTTGCTGGTACCATGTGA